TTGACCCAGGTGCACCAGCAGCCATGGGCGGATCCCAGGTGTGGAGTAGTGGGCGGACCCACTGAGGGCTGACCTTGGTCACATGCTTGCACGCAGATAAACCGGTGAAGGAGTGAGCAGTGAGACAGAGCAGCAGGAAGCGGCAGAGGGGACCGCTATTGTCCCTCTCTGACCCCACCCCCACGTATAGCATCACAAAACAGCGACCTGGGTGGCCCCGCCCTGGTGAACACCTAAGGCTCTGCTCCTCATACCTAACAGACACAAACAGATAAAAACATGGCTCAAGAACAACTCAGAGCCCCAGAGCCAATAAATCTAAGTGATGAAGAAATAGCCAAACTTTCAGATGCACAGTTCAAAACACTGGTGATCAGGATGCTCACAGAACTGGTTGATTTTAGTCACAAATTAGAGTAACATATGAAGGCTAAACTAATTGAAATAAAGGGAAAGGCACAGGAAACCAATAGTAATGGAAAGGAGACTGGGACTAAAATCAAGGGAGTGGACCAGAAGGAAGGAAAAAATGACGAAACAGAAAAGGATGAAGAAACAAGAATTCAAAAAAAATGAGGAGAGGCTTAGGAACCTTCAGGACATCTTTAAACATTCCAACATCCGAATTATAGGGGTACCAGAAGGGGAAGAGGAACAGCCACAAGTGGAAATCTTATTTGAACAAATAATAAAGGAGAACTTCCCCAATCTGGCAAAGGAAATAGCCTTCCAGGAAATCCAGGAAGCTCAGAGAGTCCCAAAGAAGTTGGACCCAAGAAGGAACACACCAAGGCACATCATAATTACATTAACCAAGATTAACATGAAGGAGAGAATCCTAGAGGCAGCAAGAGATAAGGGGACAGTCACCTACAAAGGAGTTCCCATCAGACTGTCAGCAGATTTCTCAAAAGAGACCTTATAGACAAGAAGAAGCTGGAAAGAAGTATTTCAAGTCCTAAAAGGCAAGGACCTACATCCAAGATTGCTCTATCCAGCAAAGCTTTCATTTAGAATGGAAGGGCAGATAAAGTGCTTCTTAGATAAGGTCAAATTCAAGGAGTTCATCATCACCAAGCCCTTATTATATGAAATGTTAAAGGGACTTATCTAAGAAAAAGAAGATAAAAAATAGGAACAGTGAAAGGACAGCAAACTCACAGTTATTAACAACCACACCTAAAACACAAGCAAATTAAGAGGACAGCTAGATCAGGAGCAGAACCATAGAAATGAAGATCACATGGAGGATTAGCAACAAGGGAGTGGGAGGAGGAGAAGAAGGGGGGAGATGGTACAGAAAATAAGTAGCATAGATGGTAGGTAGAAAATAGATGGGGGGAGGGCAAGAATAGTATGGGAAATGTAGAATCTAAAGAACTTGAGACACGTGGTCATAAACTAAAGTGGGAGGAATGGTGGGGGAGGGGGTTTGCAGGGTTGAGGGGAATGAAGGGAGGAAATAGAACTGTAATGGCATAATCAATAAAATATATTTAAAGGAGAATACAACACTAACTAAAAGATTTACAAGATTTAAATGGAAGATTATTTGGCGGACAAAAATATTTCAGTTTTGCCCTGGCTGGTGTAGCTCAGTGGATTGAGCACGGGCCTGTGAACCAGACAATCGCAGTTTGATTCCCAGTCAGGGCACATACTGGGGTTGCAGGCAGGTTCCCTGCAGGCCAGTTCCCAGCAGGGGACGCATGAAAGGCAACCATACATTGATGTTTCTCTCCCTCTCTCCTTCCCTTCCCTTCTAAAAAAAGATAAATAAATAAAATCTTAAAAAAAAAATATTTCAGTTTTTTTAAATTACTGTCTTTTGTATAAGTAGTAGGAATAAATCATGTTTTGGAAAAACTAGCAATGCAAGATATAAACATTTGTGAAATAAGATACCTTTTTCTACAGAAAAAGTTCAAGCTCCCCTACCTAAAATTTTCTAAAGGGTTTGCCTCCTTATTACCATCTTGGTTCCATGCCTCCTCCATTCCAGGATAATCACAAAAGTACAGAAAACCTCACAGGTTCAATAGGTCTTACTAAATCCCATCAATAGCAAGACAAATTTCAAATTCCCTGGATGTGCCTATGCTATGCCTGGCCCAATGATGCACAAAATAAACGTGTTGAATGGCTGCAACTTCTCCAGAAGAAAAATGTATGTGTTTAACATTTCCTACTTCCCATAATACGAATATGACACTACAAATTATTACAGCACCAGAATAATGCAATAACACAATTCTTTTACATTAAATCACATGCCTAAAAAGTTCACATTTACCATTTTTTAGATTGTAGATGGGGGGGAGACTGATTTTTAAAATTCAATGTATGCAGTTACTAGCAATTAAGATACCACAAAAAATTTACCTGAGCATATTCCTTTTTTTAAACAATGACACTTTTAAAAGAAGATTTTATTTATTTATTTATTTTTATAGAGCGGTGTAAGGGAGGGAGAAAGGAAGAGAAGCATCAATGTAAGAAACATCTACTGTTTGCCTCTCGTACACACCCCAACCGGAAACTATATCCACAACTCAGGTATGTGCCATAACTGGGAAACAAACCTGCAACCTTTTAATTTGTGAGATGATGCCCAACCAACTGAGTGACACTGGTCAGGGCGACAATGATGTTCTTAATGTACTAGAATTGTTATAGCTTTTTTCCTAATGCTTAGTGAAAATACAATAAAATCATGGATCTTTTCATTTATACCATCAGAAACTTTTTTGAATTGTATATGAGAAATTAGCTCCACTAAAATAAGTGGCCTGTTTTTTTAATAGCAATGTTCTAAATTCAGTGAAGGTTAAAAACCAAGAAACATGAAAATAAACATATTCATATACGTATGATGCAAAAACGTTCCCTCTGTATTTAATTCACAAACTGAAACACTTGCTCCTGATTTATGGTTAAAATATCTATATCAGACTTACGGCCAAGATGGAGGCATAGGTGGAAATACTGTGCCTCCTCACACAACCGATATTAAGGACAACAAAGATTTAGAAACAAAAACACAACCAGAACAGACAGAAAATTGAACTGTATGGAAGTCCAATAACCATTTAACCAGAATGGTAAGAGGGGCAAAGCTGGCGGCCAGTGGAGAAGAAAAGGTGGTCGCAGCCAGACCCAGAAGTGCAGGCGATGCAGGGCTGACCACAGTCACACATTCATGTGCAGAAAAAACAGGCAAAAAACGGGCAGCAAGACAGACCATGCAACCCAGGGCCCCAGTGATGGTAAATAAAGCCTAAAAGCACTGATTGAAAAGGTGCTGGCTTGTGGGAAGTGGCAGAGGGGACTGAAATCGGAGAGAGCTCGAACAAGCACCACTGATCCCTCTCTGACCCCACCCCCACCTATAGCATCACAACCCAGCAATATGAATTGCCTCTCCCTGGTGAACACCTAAGGCTCCACCACTCATACATAACAGGCACAACAAAGACAAAAAAATGGCTCAATCAGAAGAACAAATCAAAGCCCCAGAGCCAATACTTTTAAGCAACAAAGAGATAACCAACCTATCAGATACACAGTTCAAAACACTGATGATTAGGGTGCTCACAGACCTGGTTGATTTTGGTCACAAATTAGATGAAAAAATGAAGGCTACACTAACTGAAATGAAGGAAAATGCACAGGGAACCAATAGTGATGGGAAGGAAACTGGGACTCAAATCAAGGGAGTGGACCAGAAGGAAGAAAGAAACATTCAACCAGACCAGAATGAAGAAACAAGAATTCAAAAAAATTAGGAGAGACTTAGGAACCTCCAGGACATCTTTAAACGTTCCAACATTCGAATCATACTGGTAACAGAAAGAGAAAAGGAAGAGCAAGAAATTGAAAACTTATTTGAAAAAAGTAATGAAGGAGAACTTCCCCAATCAGGCAAAGGAAATAGACGTCCAGGAAGCCCAGGAAGCCCAGGAAGCTCGGAGAGTCCCAAAGAAGTTGGACCCAAGGAGGAACACACCAAGGCACATCATCATTACATTAGCCAAGATTAAAATGAAGGAGAGAATTTTAGAAGCAAGAGATAAGGTGACAGTCACCTACAAAGGAGTTCCCATCAGACTGCCAGCTGATTTCTCAAAAGAGACCTTACAGGCAACAAGGGGCTGGAAAGAAGTATTCCAAGTCATGAAAGCAAACCAGCAAACCAAGCAAACAACTAGAACAGGAGCGGAGCCACAGAAATGGAGATCCCATGGAGGGTTAGCAACAGGGGAGTGGGAGGAAGAGCAAAGGGAGAAGGTACAAAGAATAAGTAGCATAGATGGTGGGGAGAAAATAGGGGGAGGGCAAGAGTAGTGTGGGAAATGTGAAGCTAAAGAACTTATGACACATGGACATGAACTAAAGGGGGGAAGATGGGTAGGAGGGGGTGTACCGGGTAGAGGGGAATGAAGGGGGGAATGGGACAACTGTAATGGCATAATCAATAAAATATATTTAAAAATATGTATATCAAACACACAAAATTGAACTATATTTTACATTATTTCCTGGAAGTCTATACTAATTGAAAAAAGTTCATCTTTGCATTACCATCTTAGCATCACCCTCTTAGCATCAACAGCACATGAGAGTAAAAACTCAGACTAAAACATTCCCTAATATTAAGTAGCATTTTTTAAAAACAACTTATAGTTGCTGCAAGATCAATTTACCAAAACAGGCAAAACTCAATACAATTTCTTCATCATCTTAGAAGACAGCTTGATGCACCACACTTTTTGATCTGCTTTATTCTATTTCCATTTCTTAATGCCCCAAATAGAAATTAAACACTTTTAGTAACAGCCAAAATTTCATCAATCACAGTAAAAAGAAGCAGTATGATATGAGTAACAGAGGTATTCCACAATAGGTGAACAGCCTTGGTAATGACCTTAGAGTATATGCTGATACAGAAAATCTATTCAACGTGTACAGGAATCACATTAAATAATTCTATTCTCACTTACCTGATGAACTCTCAGTAAATACTGTTAATGTTTGTCCTCCAACACTTTGCAAGACAAAAGGATGTTCTCTAGGGGCACTGACTGAAGCTGGTTTTCCGCCGATATCATGAATATTTGCAAGATCCTCATTTAAAGTAAACGACACCTAATAGACACATTAGGCAGAGCTTATTACAATAGACTTTTACATTCAAAAGTACAAAAATTCTGATTATAAATCAAGTAACTTTTTAAAAAATGTGAATCTCTTCTAGTCATTTAAGCATTTTTTAAACTTTAGCCAAAAATCTTTAATACTTAGTCATGAAAAGAGACTGTATTCCCATTTTCAGAATAATGGGGCTAATCTACCATTACAAATACACATAGCCTTAAAATATTTTTTCTGGTTTGTGGCTGAACAAATTCTATTTTCCAAATAGGGATATAATTTTTCTCCCCATGGTCTTCAAGGTCAAGAGTCCATGTCTTAAAAAAATAAATATAGCCCTGGCTAGTGTAGCTCAGTGGATTGAGCGCAGGCTGTGAATCAAAGGGTCACCAGCTCAATTCCCAGTCAGGGTACAAGCGTAGGTTGCAGGCCAGGTCCCCAGTGAGGGTCACGTGAGACACAACCACACATTGATGTTTCTCTCCCTCTCTATCTCCCTCCCTTCTCCTCTCTCTAAAAATAAAATTTAAAAATACATAAATAGAAATAGATGTGTGTGTGTGTGTGTGTGTGTGTGTGTGTGTGTGTATGGGCTGGCCAAAAAGTTTGTTTTTTCCCCCATAAGATGGCTCTAGTAGCACTTAGCTGTCTTTAACTTAATTCGAAACAATTTTGTTAAGACTGTACTATGACAGCTGTCATATCAGCATGAATTTGAAAAACACTTACCAAAATTGGTGAATTTTTGTGTAGCCATTTTAATACTGAAGATGGAAAACAATATGCAACATTTTTGGCATATTATGCTTTATTATTTCAAGAAAACTAAAAACACAAATGGGGACCTAGCTGGTGTAGCTCAGTGGATTGAGCGCAGGCCTGCAAATCAAAGGATCTCGGTTCAATTCCCAGTCAGGGCACATTCCTGGGTTGCAGGCCAGTTCCCAGCAGGGGACACTTGAGAGGCAACCATACATTGATGTTTCTCTCCCTCTCTCTTTCCCTTCCCCTCTAAAGATAAATAAATAAAATCTCTTTAAAAAAAAACACAAATGGAAACCCCCAAAAAAGATTTGTGCCTTGTATAGAGAAGGTGTTGTGACTGATCAAATGTGTCAAAAGTGGTTTGTAAAGTTTCATGCTGGAGATTTCTCACTGGACAACAAATACTCTACAGTCCAGTAGACTGGCTGAAGTTGATAGCAATCAAACTGAGACATTAATTGAAAATGATCAATGTTATACTACATGGAAGACAGACGACATACTCAAAATATCCAAATCAATAAAGTTATTGGTGAAAATGAAAAATGTGTCTTTTATTTTATTGAAAGAACTCAACTTTATTGAAAAACTCAATCTCTATAAATACACAGATTTTTCAGCCAATCCTATATATTTATCTATCTCCTAGAAAGTGCCTGGCACGTAGAAGGTAAACAGTATTTGCTGAATGAATAAATACTTTACGGTATTAAAAAAGCAATTATACTGGAAGGGAGAAAAGTGAGCTACTTATATAGCGTAAACATTCCCATAAGCAGAAGTTACATTTCTTTCCTAGGTCTCAATGACTACTGTATGAGTACATGGTGCTCTTTTATTTTTGAATATTTTAATAAATACAACTAAATATTTATAAATATACTCAATATTGGGATTTAGAATAAAAAGACATAGTAGGCATTCTTTCAAAATGATTTTTACTATACAATAGATCTCCCCAAAAGAATATAAAATTTTACATCGAAGAGATTTATAAACATAAACTTCTGATCTCCTAACCACAAAGGAAGATTAGGAAATATTTATTAAATATCTCTCTACTGTACGTTAGGTACTTCAAATTATGTGCTGGACTTAACAGGTCTAATCTAAAGCCCTCGAAAATCTAAATTAAATGCCTCTGCCACACTGAAACAATGTTAAAATATCACTGAGGTAATACCAAGTTTCATAAGTATTGAGAGAGGGAATATTTTAGGTCAAAGCAGAATGCTAAAAATGAAAAACTAGAAAGGAATCCATTCATCCGCACAAGAGCAGCATTTATACTAATGTGTTCCTAACCATTAGCTACTAGTTGGACGTGAAGTTTTCCAGAATATAAACAGCACCCTCTCCTCACCATTACTAACACACAGTAAAATAATCTCATGTTTTAAATAAAATCTAAATAGAAATAATCTTACCTCAGTCCTTCCTTGATTCCTTAAAAGGAGAAAAGAATGAAATTTTAATTATTTAGATTTCATTTTTTCTTAAAATTTATGCTATTAAAAGAAATAACACTATGCATTTTTTATATAAAGTATTAAATTTACAGAGCTTAATATTTATCTTTGGCTCTCCTCAACTATCCTATTTCTAATCCTATAGGAGAAACAAAAATCACATTAATACTACATGAGTATTTTAAGTTTGTGTCACTTAATACTATTACAAACTGTCCTAATATTATTTTATCCAAATAATGATTTTATTACAATTGTTATCTTTATTTCTGAGCAGTTTTAGCATTCAGCAGCATGTGAATGCGTATTTAATACAGATATACAGTATTTCAGCAAATTTTACTACTTGTCTAACTGAAGATGTTTCACTTACCTAATAAAATCTTAAAGACCAAAATTAGATTTAGCAATATTTTTAAATTATAAACAATTTGTCTACACTCTAAAAACAATATATGTCTACACATAAACACACAAACCAAAATAAGTTTTAAAATAGCTATAATTCCACTGTTAACAACTTGGTATAGTAAATATCCTTCCAGGCTATTTCTATATATTTGAATTACATGTTTTTAAATGTTTTTTAAATAAATATGGAATCATCGCACACCTTATATAACAGCCTGATTTTTATTTTTTAACTTTTAAGTCTATTTTATTGATTATGCTATTACAGTTGTACCATTTTTCCTCTCCCTTTACCCCTCTGCCTGCACCACCTCCTCCCTCCAGCACTGGGGGGAAGTACATGTCCTTAGATCACATCCATGGGTTGTACATATTAAGTTCTTTGGCTTCTCCATTTCCTATACTATTCTTAACCCCCCCCCGTGTATTTTGTATCTAATTTTTTTTAATGTATTAAATACTTACTATATGTAAAGTAGTAAGTGTAAGGTCCCTGTCCCCAGCCAGCAGAACATAAAAGTTATATCCGTGATTATAAAATGAGATTAAATTTTAATAAAGATATGAAAGGTTTTGCAACGATGCATCCCAATTCAGAATGACAACGCTCCACACAGGCATGCACTGAACTCACTGTAGTCCCTTCTGCATCACTCCTAAACTTGGCTTCTGGAGGCATTTAATTTAGCTGCCTTTAAGACAGAGGAACTGTAGGCAAAGGCAAAGACACAGAAAGTACTTGCAGAATGTTTACTGAACTGAATTGAGGCGAATACAAAAGCCCACATAAAAACTAAGGAAAGCTTAAACCAGGTAATGGTAGAATGCAAGAAGGAATATATGGCAGGGTGTTTAAACTGTTAAACTGTCAGAACTGACAAAAGAGAAAGTGACTGGAAGTGGGCAGCGAGAGAAAGGGATGGATTAAAGATCATGCTGACATTTCTAGTCGGAGTCACCAGAAAATCACCCAGATGCAATCAGGAAACACCTGATGGGAGGACTTCATTTCCATGCATAAAAATAAAATTATAATGATATCTTAGCTAAAATAAGGGACTGATGAACTCTAGATGAGTTAATTTTCTAGAATAAAAATTAATCCTTGAAAACTTTAAACTTATTTTAAAAGGATTACATATTCTTTTGTCTTGGTGTGTGAAAATATGAAGCACATATGACCTTCTACACTGCAACTAAAATACACCCTTTACATGATGACCTGTGGTTAAAATGATAAACATCAACTACTTAATAGGAATTTAAAACAAAACCAAACCTCCCTGTCAGGCAGTTAAAGACTTGGTATTTGAAAGGATGGGCCTGATGACCACCCTTTCACTGACCACCCCATAATACTGTGCAGTTTCTCCTTCATCACTGAGTCCATCTCTCAATACCCCACAGCTAGTTCTTTAGACTCCAGTCTTGTTCCTCTTGCCTTTTTATCTTTCCTTTTTCTTACGCTTTTTAAATACTTCTTAGATTTGACACCAGTGGAGCCAGACTTTCCACTAAGCACCTTCTTTTCCAGATTAAGAAAATCAAGCAAATAATACCAAATCTTTAACTGCATGACAGGGAGGTTTGGTTTTGTTTTAAATTCCTATTAACACATCCTCTTCTTGGACAATTCATCTGAAAAACCATTACGTGAGGCCATGCAAGGTATGTATTTCCAGAGTGGGTTGAGCAGGGTAGTCACAACCCACGTAGGGTGGAAAGGAAGTGCCTTGGGTGGAGGGGAAAGCCTGGAGCAAGGAGTCAGAGCTTAGTAGGATGAGGAGGGCATCCACGTAAAATCAGAACAGCTCAACAAGAAGTGTGTCAGAAGCTAGCAAGGTGAGTGCATCCACATGGGAGGATAACCAGAAGTGGGCTGTTAAGAGCCCTAGAGAGGTTAAAAGGCAGAGGGAATGTCTATGAGGAGAGTGCAAACTCAGAACAGTGGGTAGAAGACTGACCGCACTGACAGTATCCCTGCGGAGGACAGCAAAAGCAGCAACCTAATGAGGAGTGCAATATAGCCCAAGCAGGTGAGGAGAGCCTTCACACGCTGGTAGTGGAAGAGAGGTTTGAACAAACAAGAACACAGACCTAAACAAATAAGTGAACATATTAAAGATAACAGGAATCAGGTTTCTCACTTTCAGAAAAGATACAAATATGAAAAGGGAGAAAAGTAAATATACCCAGTAGTGCTGGACTGGCATATTGATTTAACTTCATGATTTTCAATATATGTAGATAAAGAAATAAATAGAAATGTAAAGCTGTGTGTGTAAAAACACTCCCCAGCCCTGCCCACTGAGAGGACCTGAGTGTATCTGCAGTTATACTCAGAATGAGAACTTGTGGTATCCAGATGTTAGTTTCTACAAGGAACCAGAGCTCCTTGCAAAACTGAATGACACCAGGGCTCAGAAATATACAGATGAATCTAAAACATCTTTCTATGACAAAAGGTGCTCAAAGAATAGTGAGAACATGTCAAACAGCCACAGGACTTAACACTACTCAACTATTTACTTTAAAATGGGCCCCGGCAGGGTGGTTCAGTTGGTTGGAGCATCGTCTCATACACTGAAAAGTTACAGGTTCAATTCCCAGTCAGAGTACATACCTACGTGGTGGGTTCGATCCCCAGGTGGGGTGCGTACAAGAGGCAACCAATCATGTTTCTCTCTGAAATCGATGTCTGTCTGTCTGTCTGTCTGACTCTCTCTTACTCCCTCCTTCTCTCTCTAAAAATCAATAAATATCCCAATATCCTTGGGTAAGGACTAAAAAAATGGTTAAGATGCTAAATATTTTATATATATATTTATAATTTTTTCTACCACAAATAAAAAGGGAAAAAGCATAGAAACCAGCTAGAAGAAGTTTCCATGGACTAAATTTTGGACAATTTAACCAATGATGATGGTAACAAATGATGACCATTAAATAAAACTAGAATCCATGAGTTCATACTAACATCAATAAATGAAGTAAAAAATCTGATGGTGAATAAAATATTTACATAGTCTCAAAGTACCACCCCACAGAACACTGAATATTTACAAAGGAGAAAAAAGAACATTTATAGTGAAAAAGCTTACAGGATACACCTTATCAAGTGACCAAAGTTACGACTACCAATAATGGGACAAAATGTAAACATGAAAACTCTGCTAGAAAAACTAAAAACTTGGGACTTCCAGCCAAGACAGAGGTGGAGGTAGACACGCTGTGCCTCCTCGCACAATAAAAGAAGGACAACAACAATTTAAAAACAAAAACAACAAGAAATGATAGAAAATCAAACTGTAAGGAAGTCCAACAACCAAGGAGTTAAAGAAGACACACTCATCCAGACCAGTAGGAGGGGTGAAGACAGACCCCGGGGCAGAGAGGACTTGCAGCAAGGTGGCGCCTGAAGGACCAGGGTGGGCAAGGCAATGGCTAGTGGACCCAGCCAGACAGCAGATTGTGGAGTGGGGTGTGCAAGGCTGCAGCTGACCAGCAAGGTGGCAGCTGGCGGACCCAGCAAGGCAGTGGCTAGTGGACCGGGTGGTCCCACGTTCATGTGCAGATATACCAGGAGGAACAACTGGGTAGCAAGACATACTGCGCAACCCAGGGCCCCAGCATAGAGAAATAAAGCCTTAAACCACTGATAAAAAACACCTGTGGGGGTTAAGGAGGCCCACAGGTGTTCACTGGAGAGACCCACAGGCTCCTAAATGTACACAAACCCACCCACACAAGAATGAGAACCAGAAGGGCCCAATCTGCTAGTGGGAAACCAGGGAAGTGACTGAAATCCAGCAGAGTGGAAAAATCTCCACTGTTCCCTCTGGGACCCCTCCCCCACATACGGGGTCACAGCACAGGGACCTGGGTTACGCACCCAGGTGAATACCTAAGGCTCCGCCCCTTAGTATGTAACAGGCACTTCAAGACCAAAAAAAAAAAAAAGGCCCAAACAAAAGAACAGATCAGAGCTCCAGAAAAAATACAACTAAGTGAAACAGAGGGCCAACCTATCAGATGCACAGTTCAAAATACTGGTAATCAGGATGCTCACAGAATTGGTTGAATAAAGTCATAAATTAGAAGAAAAAATGAAGGTTACACTAAGTGAAATAAAGGAAAATGTACAAAGAACCAACAATGATGGGAAGGAAACTTGGACTCAAATCAATAGTGTGGACCAGAAGAAGAAACATTCAACCAGAACAGAATGAAGAAACAAGAATTCAAAAAAATGAGGAGAGGCTTAGGAACCTCCAGGACATCTTTAAACGTTCCAACATCCGAATTATAGGGGTACCAGAAGGGGAAGAGGAACAGCCACAAGTGGAAAACTTATTTGAACAAATAACAAAGGAGAACTTCCCCAATCTGGCAAAGGAAATAGCCTTCCAGGAAAACCAGGAAGCTCAGAGAGTCCCAAAGAAGTTAGACTCAAAGAGGAACACACCAAGGCACATCATCATTACATTAGCCAAGATTAACATGAAGGAGAGAATCCTAGAAGCAGCAAGAGATAAGGGGACTGTCACCTACAAAGGAGTGCCCATC